AGGAAGAATACATTTTTCTTCAGCCAGTTGCGTTTCTCTCGCTGTGTGAAGTGTGTACTCTAACCTTGCCGTTAATGCAGAATAATCCATTTTTAATAGAAAATTCCACTGGAATTCCTGCCATTTTTTACAAGATCACACAAAGAATAACAGCTCTTCTGCAGATACACATCTTTTTCTATAAATTTGAGGCAGGGATACATTATTACACACTGGTGGAAGGGCCTGTATAAACTGTGCAAGACACTAACAGCTTCTGATTATTGACCAGGTCAACTCATTAATCTTCAGGTCTTATCATTAGTTACTGCATGCAACTTGAGAACAGAGAGCAAAGTTACTTACCCACTGACTTGTAAAAAACTCAACAGAAAAAACATTTAAGTAAGGCAGAGTCCCTTGTTGGAACCTTGTGCAGCAGAGAAGCAGACATAGCAATACTCAGATCACACATGCAAGTACAAATCTCAGAGAGGTATTCCCATGTTGAAAAAAAAAAAAAGTACATGCACCTGTACAGGCATTTATTTTTGCATAGGAAAATGGAGTAATACGTAGTTAACTCATTAAACACAGAAGATCTTGTGCACTGAATGCATCAGGAGTTTTTGTGCAAACACAGTGTGTAACTGTGCAATTAAAATCTTTAGCAGAGGCGCAAGTGGATTGTACAGCCTATCTTCATTCCAGCTGTAGCTAACACTAAAACTTTTACCTGCAAATAGTAACACACTGTGAGGATAATGAGCTATAACAGAATGCTGAAAATCTGTAACTGAAATACTCACCAATCATTTATTAATATGGTTCCGTGAATGATGTCATCAGAGAGATAATAGTCTGACAACACAGAAAAGACCTTCTGCTTCAAATCCAAATCCAACTTTCCACTATAGTCTTGGCTTCCTGACTTCCAAGCCACCTGTGAGGACCATCTACTGCTTATAGAGTTTCATATCAACAGCAGTACTTACTGTAAGGACTTTGTTGATACCTGTTTATTTCAGGGATCAGTGCTGACACCTAACTCTAGCTCCACAGTGGGATGGAAAGAATCACAGAAACACTGCTCAAAAGGGACCTCTGAATATCTTTAGTCCAACCTACCACTGCCTACCACCGCTCACCATCGTTAGATCTGGTCAGCCACAACTGTCCAGCCAACTCTTGAGAACACACCTGAGGATGGATTCTCTGCTCCTCTCTGGTGTTCCTGCTTGCTGTATTTTTACTTACATGTTATGATTTCGTATGTGATACTGAAAAACAAATTAAACTCTTCTGGAAGATGCTTTCATCTTTGGGAAAGCTTAGCAGTTAAATGTTAATTATAGAATTATTCTGTAGAATTATTTGGGTTATTCTGGCTGCCAGTTTGACTTTTGTTACAGCAGTCCAGAATAAATAAGAGTGTTTAAAAGTACTTTCCAATCAGAAGCTTTACAATTTATAACAAATGCTGCTGAGAAACCAAAATCTTTGGTTTACATTCCTAGCAACTATGGCTATTCTCTACACAAGATTGCTTCCAGGTCTGTGAATACGTTCTGGCCATGCCCTTGGTTTTGCTGGGATGACACTAGGGTGCATCTTCCTTTGCCTAGCGTTTTGTGAAAAAATTCCACAACAGTTCCCAGTGTGTGGGCTACACTAGAATGAAGCACGATGCATTCTTCCCGATGTCCTGCTCATCCAGATCTGGCAACCAACACTGTATGGTGCGCTGTCAAGCATCTTACTTATTTATACTCCTCTCACTTACAATCTATGCTGATAATCCATAGTCCAAGTGTTGCAAATACCAATTCCTAAATAGCAGATTTTGTGCTTTGCAACTTGATTTCAAAATGGGTGCTCCCTGCTTGATGATTACACTAGAGTAATTAACATTTAAGGCAGTTAAATTTTCGTTAGTGGGTAGAGGCTCAATCTGGCACTTGAAATCTTGCCCTTGGAGCCTAGGAGAGTAAAAGCATTGGTTTCTGAGACAAAACTGTGTCTCATTTCTTCTATGCAATTAAAAGTAACCACTAAATTTTAGACAATAATAGAGGTCAAAATACCCAAGTGCTATTGAAAACATTTAACCACACACAAATGGTACGTATTTAAAAGGCCTTAGAGACTGGCATATTATGCAAACCAATCAAGTTCTCACAGTTTATTCTGCAACTAAAACATCTTAAGCATAAGTATAATCTAATCTTGTACAAGTCACATATAAAAACACAGGTGGCTACGAGTAAACACACTAAATTAATGCTCGTTGACATTGATGCAGACCTTACTCCAGCATTCTTGAAGTATTTTGCACCTATTGATTAACCTGTTTTATAAAGCAGGGATATCTCTAGCTTGTACTTATTTTTACAAAAGATGAAGTTAAGGTCAGGACTGTAACCAGAAATAGAAAGGCAGGATCTAAAAGACTAGGGCCCCAGTCTTTTCATTTCTAGACAGCTCACCTTCTCATTAAATAGAGTCAGGCATGGACAAAAACATGTACTGTAATTGGGAGTTCTACCATTAAACAAATCCATTCAAAAAGCTAGATGTACATTTTCAAGCCTGGAAAAGAAAATTATTTTAGGATACTAAACAAGCAACTGCATGAAATTTAGCTTTCTTACTGAGTTCTAAGATCTTAAAGAATTCTGAATACTGAAGTCTTGGCTAAGTTCATAAGCATTTTCTGAAGGACTGGCTTCATGATGCAAGGGCAAAAATAGATTCACCATGAAACACTCACCAAAGTTCTGTAGTTTTTTAGAGATTACATTAGTATGACATGGAAAGAACCTGAAACTGATTTCCCAGGGAGGCTATAACAAACCTCTTTTTTTCACAAGAAATGAAATATGGAGCCAAAAAGAACTGCTAAGGAACTGTAGTGATCAATAGGCACAGACTTGTACTACAGCCTTCAGTATAGCAGTAAGCTAGTTTAACCTACACAAAATTGCTACTTCTCTCCTAAACGGTGAGCTGGCTGATGTGACTTGGTTACTCCTGCATCTGCTGTTCTGATAGACTAATGAAGAGCGACCTAAATTACTGCTATTGCTGTTTCTGACTCTACTGGACATGACATCAGTTATCATGGAAACTTCATTTGGCATTGCACAATAACAAGCAAATAAAAAAAAACCCAGTTTGGCTGGAAGACTTTCATCAGGACTTTCTCCCATATGGAGAAAGCAAAGATCTTCAAAGGACCTTACAACACTCGTCTTCCAGGACCATAAGGGGGTGGGAGATGATTTAGCAACACTGTGAAACATGTAGCGAGGAAGTTTAGATATGACCTGAAGATACATAGATGGAAAGCAATCTTTTTTCATGCAGGATAGGTCATGCCAGATAGCTCAGACAACTTGCGCAAAATGACAGGATTAGCGCACAAAGGGAATGCAATGCGGCAGATCTGAATTTACAGAAACATTATTTATGGGTTAGTGGGTGGACAAAAGTTTTCTCAACAGATTTTTGCACATCGAATCATACACAGAGTTCAAGTGGTTTCTTTAGCCTCTACTTAGTGCCACTTTCTAGATAATGTTTTGCTGTAATTTAATTTATCTAGACTTTAATGAGACTTTTGGTACTTTACTGCTTAGAAAATTATTACTGACACTGGAAATATGGTGCCTGGTTACGAATATTGCAATGAAGATATGAAGTTGCCAGACATATTGTAAACAGAGCATAATTACAGTATATTTACAGCAGAACATCAAAATGGGAAGAGATGCCAAGTGGCATTTCTCAGAAGTTAATATTGGGACTGATACCATCTAATATCTTCCCTAATAATTTGGAAAATGAAGTAAATTGTACATTGATTGAATACACAGTAGACACATGAGGAACATCAACTACAACACAGCAGGTGGGTGGATTGAAAAATACCCCCAGAACAATCTGGAGATCTAAGAGGGATAGAGAGAAGGGTGCATTTAAAAGGGAAGATATTTAATGCAGACAAATGTAGAATAATAAGCTTAGAGAAAATTAACACCCATCTCAAGTAACCAAGTGGGAAAATGCCAATTTTCATTAAAAAAAAAAAATTAACAAAAAACCAAGAGATTTCACAGTTTATTCACACTGAAAATTCACATTGGGGTATATGCATCAGGTTTGACAACTTGTTTGCTACATTCCAGCCTGATGTGATTTTAAAAGGAAGAGTAACAGATTCCCTTAAAAATCTGCCTTTTAAAATAAATTTTTACTTATTTTATATGTATAGCGAATGCTCATAAAAGACTCAATTTACAGTCCTGTTAGTGGAAGTAACACAGTAGTAATGTAACTTAAGTAAGAGACACAGAAGCAGTACATACAAGGGCCAAGGTGGAGGTCAGGAAGCCAAAGCCCATCTGTCTCCAGTACTGTCGAGGAATTCTAAGTGTTCACTCGATGCAACAGAGCAAAATCCATGAAATACTAGGTTGCCACTGTTTTGTTGACTTCAGATTAGAAGCTCAACTATGCCTTAAGGAAAGCTATTACCGTATTAAAAAAATAAGATTCTGAGGGATATTTAAAAAAAATGAGGCTTAAACAAATGCTGTACAAGCTCGCTATGTTAAATGACTACTGTATACAGTAATGAAACTTAAATATTATCTGTAGGATGGAAATTGTCAAAAGAATATACCCTCTTCAATAAAATTAACTGTAATTACATAAACTCACTAAGTATAGAAACATATTTTATGACACAAAAAAAGCTACACAGACTATGTTACAGAACTGCTACTGGCTGAGAGTTAAAGAGCACACTATCTTTCCCCCATCATTATTTGGTTAACAATACCCATAGTACATTGTTTTGTCACAGGAATGATTCATTACAAGAAAATATAAAAACTTTATCAAACTGAGTATTACTTTTCTTCCTAAGACAGCAATCCAAATATAGCTGATGCATACAAAATGGCTGATGTGATAGCAATCAATAATATTTTTTTAGGTATGTTTAAAAACCTGCTTACCAAGGGGAGCCATATATTCTGAATCCCCTCACCGACACTTCAGAGTCTTGAAGATAGATGCAGTTTGTCAGAAGAGACTGTACATTTTCATAGCTCTCTGGCTTCAGCTTAGAAACAGAGGGGAAATAGTAAAAGTCCTGCTTGATCAAGTCAGCCATGAATTCCTGGTCAAAGGTCAATTCATGATTTCCTGCTATCACAATCTTGTACTCGTAGGGCAGGCTACCTAGAACAGTGAAAAGCAAACAAATTATGTGTTTTATGGAAAATCTGATAAAAGAAAACAGACAGACTCACAGACTATTATCAATTCCTATAATATGCTCACATACTGAAAACAACAGAGCATACCCCTTACTATGTTTTACTGCAATTCCTGGTGATTTCAGGTAAATGACATTACTGTCTTTTTCAGGGCACACTATGATTTAGCATACTTAGCATTAATGTGTTGAAATTACTTTCAACTCATCAACCTTAAAAACCAGTCTGCAGACTTCTGCTCTACTATTTACTTCTAGTTAATTGCCATTTGTGCTGCAAGTATCACTTACTGTGACAGTGATGATAACTCTTTGACAGAAATTAGGGTTCAAAGAAGATCAGCCATAACGCTTCACAAAATAATGTCAGCTCTTCTCCCAGAGCTGTGGTCTTTATCCGCTTGTATTGAGGAGGTCTTACAGACTCAAAACTTGGGTCAGCCAGAGGTCTGCTGCCCTCTTTGCCCTTTCAAATCAAGCCTTCAACCAAGACAGGGATGGGGTTTAGCTGTCAAAACTCCACATTCCACAAAGAAGTCTTGCAGTTTGCCTCCATCCCATGTTTTTTCCTGCTCCATTTTCTCAGTGACTTCCTTAGATCCATGGACTATAATTTAAAGTGACTCATGTTCAAGAATACTTTACAACCTGTATTTAGTGAAAAACCTTACAACCTCCTGCTGACTGCAAGAATATACATGCCCACATATATGGGTTCTCCCTGAGAGCAGCACTGTAACAGGAACTTTCTACCTAACTCCACATTTGGTTATCACCTGGATTCTGTCCTTGAGAGCAGGCATCACCTGTCTCAAGAAGCTTAACAGAAACCTTCTGAGTACATCTGAGAGGAAACAAAGACAGAAACTGTGTAAAGCTGCATTCATTAGCTTTGCTTCTGCACTGTTACTGTGCATCAGGATGAAGACAGTCAGAAAAGGAGATCGGAACCAGAAAGAAATATATTCTTGAAAATGAGACCAACTGTGCATAGCAGCAATCTTGTCATTTTTAACATGTATTGCTGATAACATAGAAATGACCACAACCATAACCTAGAGGTAGCATATTTAGAGAAGGGAAACCACCACCCAATATGCAGTGGCAAAAGTTGGCATGTATAGGACTTAAGAATAAAATGCAAGAGTGTAATTCAGAGTTACAGAAATAGAAAACAAAGAACAGTGCTAGCCCAGAGGAGATGCCACAAGGCTGAACTCATTATTTGCCATATTAAACGATCTGGGTAACTGAAGTGTAAATTTCAGACACCTGGAACACCTGTATTAGGAAAATTGATTGATTGTACATTTTCCAGTCTTTCCTGTGGGTTCAATACATATGTGGTTTTAGAATATTTACTAAGAGAAACTGTTTTCAGGTATCTATAATTACATCCTGAATGCTGGAGATCCTTTTTTTACTTGAAAGACTACCTGAGATGTACATCTTGTAATTTTTGTCTCTGAAATGCTTAGCATTTTGCAGATGAGCACTCCATCTCTACAAGTTTTCTGGGTGTGTGCACATATATACACCTAAGTTAAAAATGTTACTTAGATGCTACAATATGCATGGGCATCTATATGCCCTAAAGCATTCTTGGAAAAAAAAGGAAAATAAAATCCTGAATACTGCAGTGCTGTTAACAATTCTATTTCTATTGTTTTGTACATCTTTTCCAGCTCATCTGATCCATCCATCTAGCAGCCAAGAACCTGCACGAGCTTGTTATAGTTGTTGCTTTCACTAATGTATTTATGTCATGTTGCTGTCTGTGGGTGTTACTTAGGCAAATTAGCAAATTACTCTAAATGTACAGTTACATTTATTATAGTGGCGGCCAGAAGCGCTGCTGTAGTTACAGGTCTGTCAGCTTTTCAATTAACAACTGTGTTTTTGATGAGTTTGCAGCTCAAGTTTTTTTTTCTTTCATTCCATACCAGGTGGCACCTTGCTAAACCCATTTCCCTCTGTTTGCCTCCACAACCTCTCTTTACCATTTAAATATATATTTTTTTTTATCTAACATTTTTTTTTGTTGCTCATGCATGTTTTCATTGCTTCTTATAGCAACTGGAGACATGGTGGAACAGCTCACCGGACTGCAGAGATGCCACGGATGGACACAGGCTTATAACCTATCACACCTTTGAAAAGTCAGGGGGATTGTAGAAGTTCCCCTTGGCTGGAAAAAGGCAAATGTCCTACCTACCTTCAAGAAAGACAAGAAGGGGAATCTGTGAAACTACAGGCCATCAAGCTTGACACCAGACCTGGGAAAATTATGGAACACATCTCTCATAAAGTAATTTTCCAAGCAATGAAGGTCAGGAAAGTGAATGGGAACAGCCATCAGTGACGGCTAAATCATACCTGACTAACAATTGCCTTCTATGAGGAGATGACTGGCTCTGTGGTGGAATACTGGATGCTGTTTGCCTTGATCTTAGCTTTTGACACAATCTCCCACAGAATCCTTATATCCAGATTGCTAAGATAAGGATGGATGATAAGGTGGGTCAAGTAGCCTGTAGAATACTGAGCTCAAAGGGCTAAAATCAGTGGTACAAAGTCCACTGGAAATAAGTCACTAGAGGTATCCCTCAGCTAGTGATGTTGGGGCCAGTACTACTTCCCTTCTGTAATAACAGCCTGGATAATCTGATGGAGTGCACTTTCAGCACTTTTCAGGAGACCTTTCTCCTCTGTCTAGCACTAGTGAGATCAAGTCTGGAGTGTGGTGTTCAGTTCTGGGCTCCTCAGTAAAAGAAAACATGCAGACAAACTGAAGGAAGTCCAGCAGACAGCCACCAAGATGGCTGGGGAATGTGGTGTATGGGAAGAGGCTGAGATGTGAGTCTCTTCAGCCTAGAGAAGATGAAGACCTTACTGCTGCCTGCAACTACCTGATCTCAGGATACAGAGAAGCCAGAGCTAGGTTCTTCTCAGAGGCGCACACAGATACAAGAGGCAACAGACACAAGTGGGAATACGGTACAAGGAAAGAATTTTACCATGAGGATGGTCAAAACATGGAATAGGTGCCAGAGCAGCTGTGAAATCTCCGCTCTTGCAGATATTCAAAACTCAACTGGACACGGAGGCTCTGAGTAGCCTGCTCTAACTAGGCCTGCTCTAACTAGGGCTGCTCTGACCAGGAGGTTGGACTCTGACCTCCAAAGGTACCCTCCATCCTGTATGATTCCAGGTTTCTGGAAGTCTACACTGGAAAACTAACAGTAATTTTAAAGAACCTGCAATGTTGCAAGGAATTAAAAACTCATTTCATGCTGTGATTCTAATGGAACAAATCTACAGTAGGCAAGCAATTTAACAAGACTAGAGAGTACGTTCTACTAACTGGTATAAGTTTGCATACTATCCATTTTGCACATGAGTAGGACTAAATACTCAACTGATAGCTAATTAACATTTGATGCTAGTATATGGCTTTACTGGAGGGCAGTTAACAAACTTGGTAAATAGAGAAGCTAAATACAAAGGTATTATAGAAAATTTACGGTTGTCACAGGAATTCTGCACACATAACCAGGACAAAACTCATTCCCCAGTAAAATTAAGGCATCAAACATGTAAGAAATAGATCTGCCCTTCTGGAGTGCCAGGAAACACATATAAGAACATATGCCACAGGAGTCACAGATGTATTTTTGAAGCAAAAAACAAAAGGCAAAGTTACGAATTTGGTGGAAAGTTATTTTCTTTTTTGACTTCTTATGTTGAGTAGTCAAAACAAGACAAGTGTTTCTGCTTGAAGACCAGGGAATCCCCTGTTCTTGGCAACTGAGAAGCTTCTCCTAAAATATTTCTATAAGCTGGAGAGGAACTGGAACTAGAATTGGTTGAAAACAATTTACCTTAACAGCATTCTATATTAAAATTATTAAAATACCACTTGAATGGAATGGAATATATTTGGAAATTCATGTAGTGATTTTGACATTACCAAGGAAAGAAAATGAACCAAATGTCAGTTTAAAATATCTGGGGGTGAATAAAAAATCAATTTTATTTTTTCTAAAATAAGGGGGTTTTCCCTCCCATAATATCTAACTTGCAAGAAATTAAAATTATTTTCCTCCATAATCAACCTCTAGCCACCTCATCCTACTTGGATTTGCAATCAACAGGAACCTTTACACATCAAAATTGTCAGAAACATACTGGCTCAAATTTAGTCCTGGGCTTCAGGGCTTTTAGGCCACATCCAGCTTTTGCCTTCTACCAATTTGGAGTGAAGCTCCAAGCCACCATTCGCTTGCAGACAAGCAAAGCATGAGAGATTTCTCCCTTCCTTTTCCTCCATCTACCCACTATATGGTTCTTTATCTTTCCTGCTGCATTTTCCCCCTCCTCTCCTTTTTGTAATTTCCCCCAGTATGCAGAAAAATGCTGGAGACATTACCTTGCACTTAATTTAGCTTTTTACCAAAGGGCTTTTTCTTTTTCTTACAGAAACAAAACTTGCAGAAGTACGATGCTTCAGACTTTGGTATGTTTGTTTCTCAATATCCCTCTGAAAATGCCCAGCAGATTCAGAAGTTATTTGTTATAGTCAGCAAACTAAGCACCTCAAAGGTTACTTATGTTGCCTTGAGCTTCCTCAGTATGTCTAAGAAGACTAATGCCCAGTCTGAAGGAGAGGTTTCAAAGGAATGAGACACCTAAGGATCCACAGAAAGTCTAGGAGACAAAATCCATGAAGTCAGGCAGCAGTGGTTCTCCTCCCAGAACAACTAAGCAGATGAAGTTTCTGCCCTAAATGCCCTAAATCAATGCAATTTAACTATTTTTTGAGATTATCTTACTATCTTACTTTTTTGACAGCTACGGCAAGCCCTCCTGAGAAAGTTTCTTAGCTTTTGTTGCTTAGTGTAAGAATCTGATAGCAGTTCTGGTAATACATAATGTATAAGAATATAGATATTGTTCAGC